AGCCGCCCTCTGTACGAACAATCCCCCCCCCCCCCCCCAATGGAATGCCTGGGCCACCCAGTGAGCAAGGCTCAACTTCCAACTGGCCCAGGTGGCCCCTAGAGGCCGTAGTGGTATGGTACGCCTTGTCCATTAAACGGAATACGAGCGTCACCCTCATATAGTCCTCTTAGGACATATGCATTTGAATTTCTGATGATGGGTGATCGAAAATGATGAACGGGAAAAGGCGATACTCGATTGACATCCCATGCTAAATGATATAAACCGAAAATATACAAAACTCCTGATTGTAGATACATAGTATGTTCCTTGAATCTCCAATCCTATCTCTTTGGGATTCTAGAGAGAAATGACATCCCGGGAGGGTGAGTAAAAAAAGAAAGGAACAAGACAAGCAAGGCAACCCGCTGCCCTTCGCTCATTATCGTACTTCTCATTAGGCGGCAGCAGGTGTTGGTGGTTATCATGATCCTTGCTGCTGTTCTTGTTCTTCCTTCTATTTTTCCGCTCCTTCGCTTCTGCGTCCTCCTTCTTCCACGAGCCCTCATAATGATGCGACACAAGAGCCTCGCCTAGATCTGTCTGGTTTCCGTTTTGAAGAGCAGCGAATGAGACTCCGGGCATGATCAAAACATCATCAACCAGCTTGGGCCGCTTAGTGTGTGCATAATCGCGATCATCGACGGTCCTACCGAGCAATTGTCCGAGACTCTGCAGGATCGCGATCGTCATAATCTTAGGTCCAGTCACGTTGATCACGTCCGAAAGCATTTCCAAAGTAATGCCTTCGATGCCCACGGCACGGCGTTTGCTTGAGCAATGCCCTTCAATTTATTGACAACAGTGTCAACAATAACTTGAAGATTAGGCGAAGACTTCCGTCCGACAAATACCCAGTTACAGAACTGGGAAGCAACTTCCGTCCCCGGGCCTCGCCATTCAAAGTCGAATTCCAATCCGACAATCATATCGATATTCTCATTTCGGTATCCCACGGGTACCCACTCGGCGACTTCTTTCTCGCACGAGATGTCTAAATCTCCCCAGATTCCACCTTCGGCGAAAATAACCAAGTAATGAAACAAATCTGCACATAGGATCGGGATTGGAAGGGCTTCATAGACTTCGACGATATCCGGTCGTGTTTTGTGAGCGCGAACAAATGCTTCAGCAGATCGATCTGTCAACAGTTCTTGGCGGAAAGAGAGATTTTGTTTTATCCAGCTGCCGGTCCATTCACGTTGATTTCCGATATATTATGAAACTTGGCAGAATGCCAGACCTTGTCCGGAAGTGGATAGACCGATGCAGCAGAAGCAGTAGGATAACTGTACTGGTCGAAGTTGCCCTTTGGGGCACTGATATTGAACTCGAACCCTCTGTGCCCGGGCTGGTCGTAATCGTCTCGGAAGACTGCGGTATGGTGGGACTGGAGACAAGGGTGGGTATTTATCTCCACGAGTAAAGATAACAAATGAGGGCAAATGGAATTATAAGGGCAACAGTTAAGCGCGAGGAGTGCGAGTTCTTTAAGTTGGTTAACATTGAAAGGATGAAGAGCCTCAAAGGTGACACGAGGGACGGGAACGTGGGATACCTGAAATCCGATCACAAAGCATTGGAAATCAGCAGAACACTTATTAGGCCTGATGCCAGCCTATTCCTAATCTAGCCTATTTCAGGATGCATTGATCGATTCGGCCATGAGATATCCGGCCAAGTTTAATTGGTACGGAGGACAGAGGACACTATTTAGTAGAAAAAGATATAAGAGTGGAATCTCGTATTCTATGATACCAATAATGCAGTCTAGCGTCAACTTAGTTAGAAACTGTGCTATAGTTGGCCTGTTTCGAGTTGAGATACCTAAAAAAAAGCTTTGAGAGGTATATGTACACACATCATTCGTTTTCGGATAGTCTTATAATCGATGTTAATAACTTAAATGTAGTATATTCATAGGGGAAAGGACCTTGGGAGAGTTTAATACTCATCCATGGATTCATGGATTCATGGAATGGAAGTTGAAGCTAATATCCATGTTGATCAACTACATAGCTCATTTTTCATCTCTGGTGCGCTTCCTGCTCAAGAATGGATATCCCTCCTTTTCTGTTCCACGTCATAAAGAACCTGAAAATATCTCTATACATAATGCACCACAGGTATCATGTCCGCTCACATGTATTCTCCGCGTCAACATCCACACAGTGCGCAGCAAACTTGCTCGCCTTCCTCAGACGTTCCCCATATATCCTCAGTACAGGTGACAAGAAACAAAACCCAGTGGCCAGACTAGCCAGAACACACATCGCTCTATTTGGCCCTAGCCCACTAAACATCCGCCCAGAAAACAACGGAAACGAAGCCGCCAACATACAGCGCACCAGACCCAGCGCTGCAAATCCACTAGCCGAGTATGACCGATAGCTGTCCGACATGTATCCGACCAGCACGATGCCGAACTCATTAATCGCGAACCCGGTCAGGAACAGCGGCACCACAGACGCAAAGTAATGCACATGCACCGCTGGTGGGATCGTCCATGCGAACCACCACAGCGCGGTCATGAGCACCGGTGCGGCAATGATGTACCCGGTTAGTTTGTGCTCGGGGATAACGCGTTCACCACGCTGGCGCCGGCGTGCTGTTTTGCGGTACTCCAGAAAGCGGGTACCAAAGTTGGGAAGGAACCCGAAGCCGAGGGCTAGGAAGGGGAGACTGGCTTGCGTGGATGTGAGACCGAACGATCTATAAACGCCGGGCAGGATGTCTGTAAACAGGTAGATAAGCCCAGTTGAGATGCCGCACACGATTGAGACTGCTGCGATGATAGGCTCTGTGAAAAGGAGCTGAGCTGGTCGGAAGGCGAATTTGCGCGCAAACGACCGGACGTCTAGGACTTTATCTGGGTTCAGTGCTTGTAGAGAATGGTCGCCAGTGATGCGACGCAGGTGCCGAACCTCCTGTGTCAGCAAAACAGTTGGGCGGGATTCACGAATCGCGAGTAGCAGGATGGTTAGGATTCCGGTGACTATGGCGGCCACATAGAAAACCCATTTCCTACAACTATTTGTTAGTCTTCTGGTCCCTGTCTGTGCACAACCCGTTCTCTTCGCGTTGCGAGAGTTGGGACGGTACTTACCACCCCCAAACAGCAGTGATATATGCACTCATCACCGGTCCCATTGCGATTCCCAAATTCGCCATGCCCATATACGGCAGCGTAAGCCATATCAGCTCCCTAGTGTCAAACATATCTTGCATGCTGCCATTGATGACAGCGCTCGGGACCGCAGATAAAAAGCCTGTGATGAGGCGCCCTATAGCGCCTGCAGCAGGCAACTCCGCTGCCGAAATCAACACGCAGAATATACTGTATAATGCAGTGCTGCCCACGTACAGCTTCTTTCGACCGTAGCATTCAGAGTAAGGGGGTAATACTATACTGCCAATACCTTGCGCGAGAAGATATCTTTTTATTTTATCTGGTAAGCATTTCCCGTAATCCGTACTCCTAAGCTTGGAACCATAAAGAAGCATACTTACGTTGATATGTATAGAAACACAGACAGGGTCTCGCCAATCCCAAAGTGGCCCTGTGCACTTTTGGCAGCTGTAGCCTGCTCATAAGTTAGCATTAAAGATAAAATGCAACCCGTATGCAATAACCTGTACCCCTGATGTGCTCACTGCAGTCCTAATTCGCAAGAACGGTTAGTCATCGATTATCAATACCTGAACGGGAAAACGCACGTATAAAATTCCAAGAAGATGATAATTGAAACATCATACGCCTTCCTCGAACTGCTCCAATTCCGCGGATGGCGGGGGTTCATGGCAGCCCAACCCACGAGATTCTTCTCATCTCCGGTGCGCTTCAAGCCTTGGATTTCGAGGGCTTGGTTTACCTCTAATCGTGTTTGGGGAGTCGACATGGTTATAATGGTTACTGAGCCAAGCATTGAAATTAAGCTTGAATGGGCCGGGCCAGGAAAGGAAATTTATAGGATTGAGCCCGGGCATTCTTGAATTGAGTTTCTCAATGAGCACATATGTTTCGGAAGTCCTAGCAATATTTGTTGAACAGCAAGAAAAACCTGGATGCTGGTAGATCTGATAGATACACGCAAGGGATAGTAATAAGAATAAGGATGTTGAAGTCTTAGACCCACGGTGAGGACGTAAGCTCATAACCCATATAAGAAGAGTAAAAGCTATGTTGATCTTACCATCATTATATTATCTCCCTTGTTTATCGTATGCATTCTCTACGCTTAAGAATGCGAAGCAGCAACCGGGATTTGCATTGTTTTTTGCAGGTGATTTTCGCGCGATCATGAACATTTGCAGAGCCATACTAGCTGTGCAATTGAATGATGCTGCTTATGAGCTTGACCCAATTTTGTACGGAGGATAATTAAGACCATGGGATACTTCATTACTTATGACGATTCTTACTTATAGTTTTCCAAGCATACATATGTTGGGTTCTTTCACCTCATATACTTGTCATAGAAATTCCAGTAAATAGAGTCACATTAGTGTTAATGACATATTTCTTAAATATACTGGGGTGGTTGACCTCTCTACCTTGTAAAGTCGCGATATCGTTAATGAGCAGCAAGAGCTAGAACTAACAGATGAAACACTCTGTCGAACAATGGGTTCGTTTACCTTTATTTCTCTTTATCCCGGTGATCACTAGATTTGGTCATCAGATGACGGAGTCCCAGGAAAAGACTAGGGATTGCGCTTGTCTCAAAAATGGACGATCACAAACACGCTCCTTTCAACCCGAGGCTTCGATATCAAACCGCAAGTATACCGCTTGATAGTATCACAAATCATAATATCACAACAGCCGGGGTAAAGTTCAGTATCGGTCTGTTGTATCAACGTTACACGATCCTGGTCACTTTTATGCATTCCTCATACAGCTATCTAGTTAATACTTCGAACTTGCTGTATTAATATATTCAGAGTTTCACCTTGGGTTCTATTGTCCAGTCAAGGCCAACAATCCGACCAACGATGCTGGTACTGTGGTATATAATCCTAGAGTGCAAAGACCCTTCCTGTTGATACTTCCACACTTGACCTGCTCTAAAATACACACATCGACAGAAAAGTGATACTGACCAAAAAGGTGAGAACAGCGCACGCTTTAGACACCCTGGGTATTGATCCTATAGGAATTACTTGAGATATTCATAGTCTAGACTCAAATAAATCCGACGTTGCGTGTTACCTTGCATACGTGGAGACTGAGATCTACAGGTGACGAAAGTATGCCACGCCGGACTTTGCTCGTATTGGTCAATATTGATTTACTACTTTCCTTCTGCTTTTCGAATTCAGAAAAGAATTTATACTACATATGAGGTCTGGTCGATAAGTCCTGTCAATTCCCAAGTTATTTAGGGCCTAACGTAGGTGGTAGGTAGTAACCCCGGGCCAGGAGGTTACTGAAGTACGATGGAATGGGGTGAAGAGTAACTTTTGCGGGCAGTAATTTGTTTATAGAGGTATAAGGGAGTAAGTCACACACGGGGTACTAGAAAACCATCGACGATGCACTAAGATGGGAAAAAAGACAATGAAGAAGACACCAAATAAGACAAAAAGGACCTGTAGAACTGTGTTCGTACTCTTTAAAACAGACAGGTAAAAGCCTTGATGGTTCTAATCAATGACCTGGGTACCGGTGTTCGTTATAGTCCAAGTCCACCTTGCTAATACTTTCCTGTCTCGGGATATTTTCCACTGGAGGTCTTGAGGTTCAAAGTTTGTAAGGCCAATCCGAATAAACAGAAAGAGCGACCTTGAGATGTTCTGAAATGGAAGGCAAAACATCGGAAAATAGTGCCTTCCCCAGAACGCCCATAAGGAGAGATTTACGACGTAGAAGTTCATCCTGTAAACATCCCATTTCCAAATGTTCCTCTTTGCATGTCCTCGTCTCCGAAGGGGACATCGAGCTGAATCTCCAGGTGGCTTCGCACAATCATATCAACATGGTCGAATGGAGAATGTGGATGGTCCCAGGGAGCAAGCCCAAGGCAAGGCCCGGCGCAATATTTGATGCCCAAAGGCGCCCTGGCTAACTTGAGATAACGCAGGCCCTTCACCAGGATCAACTGCGACACCTGTTCGAGATACGAGGCGGAGATCGACAAGTCTTTCGCGTCGGCTCCGCCATCGATTCTCGAGAGAATCCAAGCAGTCCGGGGAACACCGCCCCATCTTTCCCTTCTCGCTCAAGCCAAAGCCAAGTACACCCAAAGCAAATACAGAGATATCAATGGTTGGGGACATGGGAAGCAGTCTAATGAGCGAACGAGGGTACGACAGTGATGCCCAGTGCATTGGGAGTCCTCAGCATGCCGATCAGATGAGAGCGTCGCCCAGAAGTCCGGCCTTTCGCAGAATGGGGTTGCATGATCTAATAGAGCACAGTCGTGAGCGGAACGACTTGGAGATGTGGGCGGGTGCCCAAAGCCAGGATCGATCCGACACCCCGGGAACTCCCTTTGGGATGCATTATATACCTACGCCACCAGGAAGTTTGAGAGGGCGCTCGGCTCACCCCAACTCTGCAACCGAAGGCACAGGTAGCCAGTCCGTGCCTTCATTCAACAATGAGCGGTCGGGCGATCAAAACGCGTTCACGAAATCTCTCCCAAGCCTTCCTGCCAGCCAAGAAGAATTAGCTCCAGCAAATCGTCCCCGATTTAGAGAAGGCTTGATAAACAGCAGCAGCGGTGAGAACCCCAAAAACATTGTTCCTGACTGGACTCAGTACATTGGATCAAATCCCAATGACCATCGCGTGGCGTCTTCAGCGTCGCTAGCCAGGGAAGATCCGGGCATTATGGTTTCCAAGACACGGCAACCAACAAGCTCTCCCAGGACTCCCTCTGAGGCCCGAGTACCGCATCTCGGTGATCTGGACCTTTCGCACAGACTCGCAGGGACAAGCATGGGGTCCGGACCGCCATCAACTAACCCATCCATGTTGGAACTGCCACGTGCGAATAGATATGGGCCACAAATGGCATCACAAGAGAACCTTCAATCCCATGAGAGGTCTGGAACATCGGAAATCATGGGATCCGAGTCCCAGAAGCAAGCTATGTCTCATCAACGAGATGCGTCCTCTTTCTATTCGCGTCAAAGCAGTAACCCTTCGCGGGGGGCGTCTGCCGTTCAGTCGCTGAGAGTTCACGCTGCAAATGCAATGGATAGCCTACCGAATATTCATGCACAAATGGCAGCTGAGACTAATTCAGCCCAAAATGAACCGGAATCAGGTTCCGAGGTTGTGAAAAGCAAGTTCGTTGAGCAACTTGATGCGGCAAATTGGGAATCACCCCAGATTCATGGCATTTCCAATGGCGCCAACGGTGCCGGTCCACATCGTAGAGTCAGTCCCGGCTGGATGACTGGAGGGCGACGAATGGGCTATGGCTATAGCTTGGTGGACAACGCTGAGGATCACCCACCAACACTTGGAGGGAACAGTAGTCCACTTCCGAACGGGGATTGGCACAGAGACACCCCGGGACCTAGCTCTAACAGCCGATGGTCTCCTATGAACAAAAGTCCTACCAATGCCAAGGGAGAGCCCATCTTGACACCGACGATGTGGGCCAAAATGAAGAGCCAGTCACTTCGAGGTAATAGTCACGCACCGCTGGCAGTGGATTTGGCCGGTGAAGGAATGGCTGCAGGCAAAGCCGGCCGTACAAGCTCAATTCGCGCGCAGCACATTGAATCGCCAACTTCTGCAAAGTCGCCAACTTCCGCAAAATCACCGACTTCCGCAAAGACGCCTACTTCGGCAACGAGCTTCTATATCGAAGACGTGGACGAAACGTTCTTGAGTCGCTGGGCGAAGGCCAGCCGTTCCACTCGTAAACAACCACAGCCAGACAAGTACCATGATTCAACCCATGGGCGCACTGTGTCTTCTTCGGACGCTTCACCACTTGGTGAACGCCGCTTCTCCATGGATCAGACAAACCATCAGCCCTCCGTGTACTTCGATCCGTCGAATGACAGGAGTGCAGACAGATTAAATGGAGAACCTTCCCGCTCTCGTAGTGGACGCTGGATGCTAAAGTTTTCCAGAAACAGGGAAAGCAAGAGACGCTCGAACCGCCCTCCGAAAGCAGCATCCCAGGAAGGACCATTTCAGGAATCGCCAGTACAGTATGAAGAGCGTCCGTCGAGTGATCTAGAACGAGCAAACTCTACCAGAAGCGATGCGGCAGAGGAGCTCGCAAGTGCGTATCAGGAGTGCATTGGGATGCCCGGGGCCTTTTATGGAAGCCGGTGGGCGAGCCGAACAAGTCTGGTGGTGGAGGCAGAGTGACGAAAATGCGCAGCAACGATCGTCGCATGAGTAACGAGGGTATATTGGTTGGACAAGCATAAAAATACTGTTATCGAGGACTCTAGGGCCAATTCTGCTGTTATTGTTACCCACGGGGATGGAGTTGGTTTAATCATGAGTATGCTTCTCAATCGGGCGTCATTAATCATACAGAAATATGGGTAATTGATCCCTAATACATCTTACACTTCTCAGTGCAGTTTATCACCAGTAAAGAACCAAAATAATCTATCTCCTCTGCCGCTTGTTGCTCTTGTCGCTTGCACCACTAAGCACACTAGCAGACCGCTTGTGATTACCATCCCCTTGTTGAGCAGCATTGCGCTGTGTGTTCTGTGGGACAGTAGAATGACCCGAAACGCCAATGTCGCCGTCTTCAGTCTCCCTTTTCACATGGGGGTGTTCAGGGTCAGCACTTGGCCCCGAGATACCAGCAGCTTCTCGTAATTTGCGCTCACGCTCCATCTTCGCGGCTTCGAGAACACGGATCTCACTTTCAACCTTTTCGGACACCTTGCGGGCGTCAAGGAGCATATTGACAGACTGAATGAGTTTTTCGAAATCCTTGCATACGCGCTCAGTGGGCATGAACAGGCGCACCGGGATCTCAAGCTCGGATAGAGCATTGGCCAGTTTCTGGGTTTGCACGTTGGACTTGGCCTGCGTGAGTCGCTGCGCACGGTCGCTGCGGAATTGCACGCCTGCGGAGACACGCTCGTGGTGCTGGACGCCATACTTTGCTTCCTCGGCTGTTGTGAGCGTGCGTACCATTTGATTGAATTCCTTTGATGCGAGAGCCCCCTTCTTGCTTGCGGCCTGTGTGACGGGTGTCTCGGCTCGGCCTAAGCCACCCGCTGTGGTTGGAGTCTGACCAGCCGGACTCGGAATGGCACCGTCGCCGAGGATGGAGCGGCGTTTCTTGCTCTTGTCGGCTTGTAAGAGAGTCTGCAGGAGCTGGGAAAGACCCGCGCTGGACTGGTACATTGTGGTGTTGCCGACGCTGATGGGAACCTCGAGGCGAGAGTAAAGTTCTCTGCGTTCGGTGATGAAGTTCTGCTCGTTGCTTGTGATGCGCTTCAATTCTTCGAGTAGCATTGCCTCCTCGCGGACCTCATCGGCTGTCCGGTTGAGCTGAAGGGCGGCTAATTCTTTACGGTCGCGCTCTCGGTCTGGATCAAACTTGAGCATCTTTTCGTGTAGCTCGAACTCGGCCTCGGACATCTCTGAAGGCGGATGTTCTAGTGAAAGCATTGTTGCCGCAATGTAATAGTATCGCGCTTTCATCTGCTCCATTGTCCGATGGTGTTTTACGGGCACAAGGGCATTCGCATCCGGCTGTGTGTCCATGCGTGGTTGGTAATCATAACGATCTGCGATCAGCACCCAGCGAATGTCATAATCAGTGACGAGATCCACCAGATAATCCGTTTCCTCGCGCGACCAGTCATTACTTGTAAGATGTCGATTGTACTCATCATCTGTGTACCGACGGGGCAAACGCGGTTTGACGTTGTACTTGGCGAATGCATATTCCTGCTCCGGCAGTTTCGGTACGACCTCTTTCTCTTCTTCCTTGGGCTGATCCACTTCCATTTGGGACTCCGCGGGTGCGGGTGCAGGCGCGGGAACAGGTGGTCGCGCCGACTCGTGTTTTCTCTGCCAGTGGTGCAAAACCAGGCCGTCGGAACGGGCATTGTTCGTGAACGGTGCCATGCTCCTACACAGGATCCAATGTCAGTATGCATCCGGGATCTCCAAATAGCCGCATCTTCAACATACCACGGTCGAACGCGCAGCTTGTTCATCCATTTTGGACGGCCCTTGTACTTGTTCTCATTAATGGCGATTGGTGGCGCCCTTTCGCCCAGTAGCGCGTACAATTCACGGGTAATACCCTCTGCAACGGGACACTATCAGTAATCTGTCATTCCTAATAGAGCGCACTACACCTACCTGGTCGCTTTTCGACCACCTTCTGCTTCTTGTGCGGTCTGGGTTGCCCTTCTGCGGGCAAATCCAGCATGTCGCGAACATCGGCCGCGGCCATATTGTCGGTTCGATCGGAAGGGTGATCTGCCTAGACACGACACCAAGGAGCGATTTCTTCGGTTCCGTTGATTAAAAAGATTATCAAGCGACCACAGAAAGATAAAAAATGAATTTGTTTGATGAAATAAAAGACTAGTGAATGTCGAAATGAAGATCACATCGACAGAGGCTTCCCGCTGGAAAGGAAGACATTCCGGAGACGGCAGGCGGTGAGGAGCCACGGTCCCTGATGTTGACACCTTCACGGAGAGTAGGACTTGGCCGTGCGACTATCCAATTGCCCATTTCCTCGTCATGGCTTTCACTCGGACATCCTCGTCATGGCTGGTGTCAGCATTGACTCTCCTCTCCTTCTTTTCTCTCCTCCTCCCGACTAATGCCCTATACTTCTACATGGAGGGCCGGCAAACAAAGTGCTTCTTCGAGGACCTGCCTAAGGATACCCTAGTGGCCGGTATGCGCCAATCTCTAGAGCGTCCGCGAAGGACTTTCAAACTAACATATGATGGTTGAACCATAAATAGGCCGTTTCGAGACGGAAGTCATCAACCCCCAGAGCGGCAACTACCTGATCGACCATAACTTGAAGATGCTCATCACCGTCGAGGAGACCTTCGACAATGACCACCGCGTCGTGTCCAAGCGGGACAGCCACTCTGGTCGCTTCCATTTCTCCGCCGCGGATGCTGGCCAGCACAGAATCTGCTTCACACCTGAGACGGATGCCACCTCCGGCTGGTTGTCCAACTCTCCAGGCGCCGTCAAGGTCACCGTCGACCTTGCCATTGGTGAGACCAGCAAGATCGAGACTGAGGACAAGGACAAAATCAAGGATATTGTCCAGCGGGTCAAGGATCTGAACAGCCGGTTGCACGATATTCGTCGTGAGCAGGTGTACCAGCGGGTAAGGATTATCCCATATCCTATCTATCTATGGCTAGAGTCTGTGGATGATTGAAGCGGACGTAATAACTTTTTTTTTCCAGGAACGTGAGTCTGAATTCCGTGACCAGTCCGAGACCACCAACTCGCGTGTCGTGCGCTGGACTCTTATCCAGCTCGCCGTCTTGTCCGCCGCATGCGCCTGGCAGCTCTCTCACCTGCGGTCATTCTTCATCAAGCAGAAGTTGACTTAGATGCTGCGTTGTCTTCTTTCCTACAGCATATCTCGTTTCTTATGCCTTGCATCTTCCTTCCACTGCTGTGGTCACGCGCGCCGGTTTACGTGAATATTGATGATTGGTGCTTACATGTGTTGTTTTACTGTTTCCCTGGCGAACGGCAGATCTTTAAATCTGGTCGGAGGCATTTCGGTTTCCCGAGTCCCTTTGTGAACTCGTCAGGCCACACGGCCAGTGTTTCAACAAAAAGGGGTGCGGAGTGCTTGGAGCGTGGTCAGATGTCGATCTTGATAATGGATGTAATGATATCTTTTCTTCTATCTATTCCTTTGTCTTCCGTAGGTCTTTCCGAACACGATATTCGCCCACGCCAACTACAGTCACTGGGGCCAACATCCTATTGCCTAACCCAGGGCCGTACAAACAGTGATAGCGTTAGAGAGACGAGAGCCCAGCTACGTTCAGTGTAGCACATTGCTATAGCGGTCGACATCCTTAGTGGTTCAATACCGATCACGATATATAACTAGACCTAGTGATGGACCACTTACACTCGAGCAATTTCATCTGTGCAAAGCTTGTGGTTGATTATTTTAACCCATGCTGTTGGGCCACAATGTGCATAAGCCCAGCTTCAAGCTCTTCCTATTGTTGTAAAAGCGGCTCTCCGAGCCTCCGCGTTACGATTGGATCTTCGGCCCCCGGATCCGCGGTGGGGCTTCTATAAACACGTCCTCAGAAAGACTGATTGAGTAGTCTTTGTTTTGCGATTGATTTTTCGTTGTTTAAAACGAATTAATTGAGTGGGCATCGAGTGACACTATTTCTCCACATTCTCCTCATATTGTACTTGCTCCTTTTGCACCGCGACCTTGTCAACCATTCCACGTTTGACATCTTCGCCCTCAAAAAGATAAGCCAGTTCTTCAAGCGTAGGACCTGCCGTCTCAACAAAGAAGAAGTAGACCACGATAAAGACAACAAGCACCCAGACACAGTAATAGATGTAAAACTTCCAGCCAAGGCTCTTTAGACCGATAGGGTTGACATAGCTTCCGAAGATGGATGCCACCTGTATAGTCAGGAGGACAAATGCCCATGTCTTGGCCCGCATTTGAAGCGTCACGACTTCCAGCGGATAAGTGACAATCAGATTAGTCCACGCCAAAGTGTAGAACGCCTGGAAAAAGAAGATACAGGCAATCACGACACGACCAGCCACCAAAGAGCTGTGCTCAAGGTACTGCTGGGCAGCGATTGTCCAGACGACGAAAGTGACAACAACACCACCAGAACCGGTGAGGAAGAAGAACCGACGGCGGAATCTATCGATGACCAGCGCAACGAAGATGGCGACAACATACTGCCAGAGAGTGACCATTCCATTCATAAGCGTGATTTCGGACTGGGTCTTCAGGCCCGTATCTTTCAGGATTTGGGTCAAGTAATTCGAGACGAGCAGGTTGCCCGAGCTCTGACTGAAAACGGCTGTAGCGAAGCAGAGAAACAGGCGCTTGAGGTTGGCACGAGAGGAGAAGAAGTCCTTCCAGCTCATGTTGTTCTCCGCTTCCTTGTCGATGGCCTGCTGAATTTCGGCGCACTCCACGGCGACCAGCTCCGAGTTGGGGTCACATTCACCTTGGAACTTGATGAGGATCTCGCGGGCTTTTTGGAGACGACCCTTTGCAATCAACCACCGGGGAGACTCGGGGCAGAACCAAATCAGACAAAATTGATAGGCGGAGGGGATTATTTGGATCAAAGTAGGGAGCCGCCACGACCACTGACTGGTGATCCTGTAACAACCAT